ATTTAATAATAAGTATAATTTATATAAAAAAATATTATAAAAATTTTTATCTTAATATCTCCGCTCTTAGAAAAATGAGAAAATTTCCAATTTTTTTTGAAGTGTCAAAATACTCCAAGTCCCGGTCTCAGTCTCATGCATAAATAAGACTGTTTCAACTTAATTCCAAAGAGATAGAGAGAAAGTAGAAATATATGATGGAGTACGATATATTGTTAAGAAGCCCCAAGAAGGAAGAACAAGAGGTTCCGGACACTGCCGCCGGAGACGGGGAGATTGATATTATGGATGAATTGGAAGGTTTTTTGGGGATTGAAAATGAAGAAAAGTTGTTGGGTGGAAACTGTGGCGGGCATCTTAGTTGGGAATTCATGGATTGGGAAGGGTTCAACAACGCCGAGGAGGAAGAAGAGGATGAGGAGGAAGAGGAGGAGGAGGAGGAGGAGGAGGAAGAAGAAAGAGACCGCCGGAAACGTTTCCCAGTCAAAGAAGAAAGTCAATACAAAGGCAGATCAGTCACAAAGGAGGAGAATCTAATTAGTCTTTGGGATGAAGATGAAAATAGGGTCTCTCTGAACTTGAACTTGAATTATCAAGATGTCTTGGATGCCTGGTCAGATCGTGGGCCTCTATGGGCAGATGATTATTCACTCTCCATGGCGGCCGCCACTGCTGGATATTATGTTAGTACTCAACTATTCACTCTTCTTTGTTTTATTTTCAAGTAGAAGATAGCATATATACCTTTACTTCTCATCTCTTTTCAAGATGCAAACTCAACTTTCGAATTTTTCCTTTTTATCTTTAATGATTGATTACACACAGCTTGTTTCAGAAAATAGATTAAATCCGACACTCTTCAAGATTTGGGTATTTACTTATATCTAATTAAGGCTTTAAGATTTAATCAAGTTATTAGTAGATGAAATTTTGATGTACGTAGATGGGGGAGGTGCCGGTGATGGAAAAGGAGAGAACAAGAAGGGAAGCAAGTGTGCTGAGGTACAAAGAAAAACGTCAAACAAGATTGTTCTCTAAGAAGATAAGGTATCAAGTCCGCAAACTCAATGCAGATAAAAGACCAAGACTCAAGGTACCAAAATTAACTTCTCCCATCCAAATTAACTCCATACATAATTTTAGTTTTGATTTTGCATAAAATGAATGCTGCTTTTGGTTTGCAGGGTCGATTTGTGAAGAGGGTTTGCCAGTCCTAGGATGGGAAAATATCTTGGAAAAAATATCTTCAGTCAGTGGGGTTATTCTTCCGTGATGCTCTGTTTCTGTCTCATTGCAAAATATCTCGCGTACGTCATCCAGACTTTTTTTGGGCGTGGGTTATGGGCGATTTGTGTCGTGGACTTGAGGGCCATTATGCGTAATGGGCCCTACTGCTCATACCAGAGAATGGTCTACTCTCCTGGTCCTGGCATTTTGTGATAGACCCAAAAAGGCCCATTTAAGACTTATGTTTCAAAATGTCAGATGATAGTGAATTACTACTTGTATTTACTAATTCATCAAATTCTTTTGAGGCAACTGCATGCACAGCTTATGATTGGTTTATATCTCTTCACTTCTCGTCTTATCATATCTTTAATTGAAAACGAACTAAATAACTGTTGTAGCTAATAGTTAATATGTATTATTTTACATATTGAAATTGATTTATAAATTTATGTTTTCAAGCATAATAATGAGTTGTTTAAAAAAAATTTATGAATATTGATAAAAATAAATGAAACTAAACACATCCACTATAGTTCCATTAGTTTATAGGAGAACTCTTTTTTTGGGTCGCACTATTGTTACACCCTAATGAGATTAAGTAGGACAAGATTGTTTTTTTTCATTTCTATCCCTTGTTGTCTTCTCCCAAAATTCATTCTCTCCGTATGATTTTCTCTCCTCTGTCGATTCCAATAAGGTAGTTCATCGACACAAGACATCAACCTTCTCAAATCACCTACTAAAGATGAAATCCTTGTCAGGAATTGAAAGACGGGTGTGAAAAGATAGTTGAACTCCATTTGGGTTTTGTGGTTAGCATTAGAGAGCTGCTCCAAACCTAGATCTAAGATAAGATCCTGTCGGAGAAGGAAAGAACTTCATTGATCGGCTACCATTGATGTAGGAAAACCATTTGAAATTTTCACGAATGATCATTTTTTAAATGCTAGCATCTTTGTCAATGTGGTGGGCATAGTTTCCGACAATCGCCATTGATGAATTCAAATCATTCATTTTGAAATTTCTCTCTCCCATTAATTTTAAGGAATCTCGCTCTCTTTTTTTTTTGTCAATTTTCTTTGAATTTCTAGGGAACCAATCGACTAGTTTCTTCTCTGTAATTTAGAAGTATTTTTAATCAAAATTTTGGTTTGATTGAAAATGAAAATGAACTTTCAGTTGTTGGTTACCGAGAAAACGAAGAGAAAGTGATGATTTGTTGTAATTCTTTTTTTTAAGAAGATAAATAATATCAAGTTGACTCAAAATTCTTGGATTTTTTTTTGTCATTTTTGGGTTTTTGTTGGGTTTCAAAAATATATATATATGTTATTAATAAATCAAATGTGAGAAGTTATGGAAACAAAATTTTTTATTAATTAGTAGAAATTAATTTGATTGATAAATTAGATTATTGTTTGAATTAGCCTTTACTATTTACAAAAAATAAAATAGAAATTTAAATTTTTTAATAAAATATTATTAAATTACATTACAAGGATGTTTTTATCTATAAAACTATATATTTATATGTAACTTTACAACACTTCAAACATAATATTAAATAGCATATAATTTAATATTATCTAATCAAATATTATTTTATCATCCTTATTTAATTCACTCCTATCTCATCCTGCATTTCATAGGTTTCCTAACTTACCCTTATTGGATAGACAAATTTTGAATAAAAATACCACTGTTTTTAGACCTGGTCCAACATGATCAGTTGAACTAGTTCAATCAAACCCGGACTTGAAAATGATCTGGTTACATACTTCAACTCATTTTGAGATTTGGCCCATTCTAACCCATTTTGACCCACTCCAACCGTTCCACCCATTCCACTCGCCGGGCTGCACCAATCATCTCTTCGATTAACCCTTTTTTTCATTTTTAATGCAATATACCTATTTTATCCCATCTTTTTAATGTTATTACATTAAAAACCTTAAACTTCAACTACGATTAGTGAAAAAAAAAAAAGCCTAATAGAAGGTCAAAAATGAAAAAAAAAAAATCTCAGCATATGCAAATTCCAGAAAATAAAAAGAAGAAAAAACAGAACAAATGATTTGAAGCAACCTCTCCTTCCGCCACCAACCTCCTTGCTCTCAGCCACCTTCGTCAGTAGTTCCTTAACTCAGCTTCCAGCCCTTCATAGCCCACCTTCCTCACCTTCCTCCACCGAATAGAAGTAGCCTTTCCTTCCTCCACTGAACAGAAGTAGCCTCTCCTTTGTCCACTAAATAGAGTAGTAGCAAGACATATTTGTATCTCCCTCATCTCCTCTGCCACTCACCTTCCTCTCTTTCCTCCACCGAACAGAAATAGCCCTTTCTTCCTCCACCAAATAAAAGTAGCAACAGAACAAATCTGCATCTCCTCATCTCCTCCGTTGATATCAACAACCTCTCTCCTTGAAAATTGCAAGATTTCGAATCAAATCAAAAGAAAAATTGGAACATAAGGGAATTTGATAACTCACCTATGTTGGAGGAGGGAGGATGACTATTGCATGGAAATCTAGGGTTTGAGGGAGTCTAAAAGATAGCTCTGCTTTGAGTGGATACCGACGCCTGTGAGTATTCCATTCTTGCATATTCAAAGCTGAAACCATAAATAAAATCCCCAAAAAATGAAAACCTAGATATGGATTTAAAATCCAAAGGGAGAGTACCTGGCATATGGAGAAGAAAGAAGTAAAGGCGCACTGCATAGTGCGCCGCATGAGGGAGGGTTATGGTTGGATTTATAGTGGAGAGTTGCCGAAGAGCCTAAACGAAACCTCGTTCGTTTTACAGAAAATCAGATCCTAACCTAAGTCAAAAAGATCCTTGATCGGTTGAACCAATCGATTAAACCAATTGAATCAAATCCGGTGACCAAAAATATAGTAGTACACAAGGACGGGCCAATGTAGGATGGGAGGGGCAGCCGCCCCCTAAGCTTTTAAAAAATTTCAAATATGGTACATTAAGTTTTATTTTTTTTTACAAAATTTTGTTTTTCAAAATTTTGAATTATTGGAATTATTTCAAATATAAAGAAAATATTTAAGATTTAAGTCAAGAAATCATTTCTCTCGTTGTGATTAATTTTTAAGATATGATAATTTGGTTTAAATAGAAAAAAATAAAAAAAATCAAGATTTAATTAATTACATTAATGTAACTTATATA